GGGGGGTTACACAAATGTTTATAAAACTCACCATCTTATCAAAATCTGCGAAAAATGATGGATCCTTAAGAGTGCATGTGTTTAATAAAAAGAGAAAAACAAGTCACAACTGACTGACTGAGAATTGCATCATTTTTTAGCATTCACAAATAAAAGGGAAATATTTAAGAGATGGGGATGTAGGATAAGATGCAATCAAAGTTCTGCAACTGCACCTTCAAAAATTATGGTCCTATGAGGCCACTTAAAGTGTGAGATCCATGATTTCAACAGAGTTATCATACATAGAGAATTTCCCCCCGTGAAAGTTTTCTCAGATTTCTTCTCTAACATGCTATGGTTAGAATCTTTGGAGAAAGCAACCATCTCCAGATTTAACTCAAATGCAGGTTTAAGGAGCTACGTTTGAAAAATTCAAATGTAGCAGGAGTGCTGTTGCTTTACTTTCAGTACATCTGCAGAACACTCTCATCAAACATTGTTGTGACATAGAACAGAGACACTTGGAGAGGAGACTAACATTACTTGGACAATAAAGGCTTCTTGGTTTTGGGGAAGTAAGCTGTTGGGTTCGCCATCTACTTTCAAAGTCACTAGTCTCTGGCAGTGATCTCTGAACTCTGTATTGACCCCTTCCTGCTTGTAATCTTTTTACGTTGTTCTACTCTAAGTCTGAAAATTGTTTGTAGAAACTAGAGAAAATAGTAAAAATGACAATGAATTAGAGCGAATCATTGGTGAAACCCAAACTTTCAGTTGACTTAGTAAGAACGATCTTCTACCAAAACCCAGACACTAATCACAACAACTCGATTCATTTCAGTGTTTTGGATCCAAATACTTTAAGCTTAGAATAAAATTACCTGTGAAAATCCATTAAATGTATTGGCCACCTAAATTGAATTCCAGAGATATATGTTAGTATTAATAATATTAGAAGCCTTCAAGTAAGACCAATCTAATAACAAGATGGACTAGTTTTGAAATGGGTGTAAACATGGAATGAACAAACAGAGGATAGTAAGAGATGGAGGCAAGCAAAAGGAGAGGCAGAAGGAGCTCAGGCTGAGGTCCAGGTTTTAGGACTTTCACTGTTTCTCAGTCTCTGGGAGGGTGGTAGATAGGAAAGGTCTGTTTGAAATTTGTTTCTATTCTTTTCTAATCTACCATTCAACTACAAAAGGAAGGGAGTCAAGTACCTCTTCCTTTTCTGTATCTAGCTCTTGGTACAACTTTCCAAATCTCCGGTTTGCCGCCTCATCTTCGGACATGTCTGAATTTTCTGGTTCTTTGTGAATTCGGGGATTGTTTACTTCTTTATTTCCTGCTGCTGCTGTTCCACAGATGGATGCAGAATTTTTGCTGCCACTACCTTCCTGCCAGGAGGTATTGCTGGAAGCAGGAACCCCGGTCCCTGAAGAGATGGCTGAGAAACTGTTGGAAAAATCCCACCCACTCTTTCTATCCCCAGTTAACACAGCCTCAGCTTTCTTTGAAGTCTCAGCAAATGGATCAAATTCAAAACCACCCATTTTGTCTCCACAATGTGATTGTGCAAAAGGATCGGAATCAAGCACACCTCCTCCCTGTGTTTCTTCAAAAGGATCGGACTCAAACGCACCCCCTCCCTGTGTTTCTGCAATAAGATCGGAATCAAACGCACCTCCTCCCTTTGTTTCTGCAATAGAGATCTGAATCAAACGCACCTTCCTCCACAATGTGCATTGTGCAAAAGGATCGGAATCAAACGCACCTCCTCCCTGTGTTTCTGCAAAAGGATCGGAATCAAACGCACCTCCTCCACGTGTTTCTGCAAAAGGATCGGAATCAAACGCACCTCCTCCCTGTGTTTCTGCAATAGGATCGGAATCAAACGACACCTCCTCCCAGTTTTTCTTCAAAAGATCGAATCAAACGCACCTCCTCCCTGTTTTCTTCAAAAGGATCGAATCAAACGCACCTCCTCCCTGTGTTTCTGCAAAAGATCGGAATCAAACGCACCTCCTCCCGTGTTTGCAAAAGATCGAATCAAACGCACCTCCTCCCATTTCTGAAAGGATCGGAATCAAACGCACCTCCTCCCTGTGTTTCTGCAAAAGGATCAGAATCAAACGCACCTCCTCCCAGTTTTTCTTCAAAAGGATCAGAATCAAACGCACCTCCTCCCTGAGTTATTGCAAAAGGATCGGAATCAAACGCACCTCCTCCCTTTGTTTCCACAATAAGATCTGAATCACACGCACCTCCTCCCTTTGTTTCCGCAAAAGGATCGGAATCAAACGCACCTCCTCCCTGTGGTTCTGCAAAACGATCGGAATCAAACACACCTCCTCCACAAGTTTCTGCAAGTAGATCGGAATCAAACGCACCTCCTCCCTGTTTTTCTGAGATAAGATCAAAATCAAACGCACCTCCCTGTGTTTCAGAGAAATAAACTCTTTCATCTGTTTCTCCTTCAGTTTCACAGTGATCTTGATAAACATCTGGTCTCTCTGGCACTGCTTCGGATGAATTATTTCTGTTTCTTTTGGCTGCAATACTAGAACAATCGGAAACAACTTCTCTTGTTTGAGGACAATCTCCTGGGACAGCTCCACCTGCCTGAACCTTCTGGCTCTTCTCTTGGGTTCGATCATCATATGAAAGCTCATCATCAGCACTTGCCCAGCCTCCTCCCTGACCACCATCACCCCACTCCTCAGCAGTTTCATATTCAGATCCTGACCCTTCAGGAGACCTGGACCATTTGTCTCCTCTGTCCTCTGCAATTTCCTCAATTTGTTCACCGTACTCATTGGTGAATATAAGTCCCGGGGTAGACTTTCTGCGATCTTCCTTCCTTAATTCATCTGCCCCTGAATCTGCCTGCCCTGTACTATCATCCTCTCCACAGCACAGGGAGGAATGAAGGTTGGAGTTAGGTTGAGATTCCCAGCTGCTAACCTCATCTTCAGCTGGTGTGATTTCACTGTCCCGGGTGATTGCTGTTGATTCTCCAACTGGCTGAATCCCTTCTCCCTGGGGCCAGCCCCGAGTCTCACCCTGCACCCCTTCTTGTGCCCCTTCCTGCCCCACAGTCGGACCTCCAGGGATAGCAGGTTCCTCAGCTCCTGAAGCATCTTCTCCGTTGGCTGACACTGAACCAAAATCAGCAGACCAGTCAGCGACAAAGCCGGTATCTGCAGCCTGCTTGGACAGGTAGCGAATGATGAATTAAAGTTTGCCCCTCCCCACTCTAACCTCAGTACAAGGTTGTGCAACACAGCATGTTATCAGGCAGACATGTGGTTTCATGGAAGGAAATGAGAATACAGTGTCGTCTGCACAAAGATGACCAGTCACAGCTGATCAAACTGTTTCAGTTTTCTGATTGAAGCACCTGCACTTCTTCAATGTAACTTCAAGGGGAAGTTTTAAAATAAACTATCAAAGAAAAAAAAACCCACTAGATTAGAAACCTTCTAGTCAAACTGTTGGACTTTTGGGGGGCATTTTGCCTTCATTTGACTGTAGTCTATAGAATCGGTCAGGTCCCTGAAGAAGCAACGTGTACAACTCAGCAGTCATCTTAGATGTAAAGTAGATGATTATTTTTTTTAATGAATGCAGATATAGCCATAACTTTAATTTCAATGGGACTCTGACCCATAGTCCCATTAGACATTAGCTGCTGCATTTTTATTCTAGTGCCTTGTACCTGACCATTTTCACAGGGTTTGCACATTGAAATATATATCACACTGAGTAAATTAGATTTTGTGTGTGCTTTAGTTAGTCCTTATTTAGATTTTGCCATCAGTCTGACTGTAGTAGGAAAGAAGCAGTTGTGAGAGCATCTCGTGATCAGCACGTCCACTCTCCTGCATCTCGAGCTGCATGCGATCCATGATTGTTTTGGTCTGAGGACGTGTGACCTGGATGATAACTGTCTCTGATGATGTTTTGGGCTCTTTTCTTGTAGTGTTGTGTGTATGTTGAGTCAATTGATGGAGGATTAGCTCTTATAATTCTCTCTGTAGCCTTTATGACTCTCTTGAGAGCCTTCTATGCCTGAGTGGTGTTTTTCATAACATACAATGGCGCTGGTAGTGACAACGCTCTCCACCAGTCCTCTGTAGGCTTTAGTGATGAAGCAGCCGGTTCCTTCCTAAACACCCTGATGAAATAAAGCCACTGCTTGGCCCATTGTCACTGTGGCATTTACAATCCACCTCAGGGGTCCATGACATGTGAATGTCAAGGAATGTGTGGCCATAAGCTCTTTTCACCCCAGTGACATTGATATGGAGATGCAGGCTGTGTTTCCTGAAGTCTAGGAGATAGATAGATGTGTGTTATTCAAGTTTTCTTTCAGAAAATATAAGTGTTACAATTGAGTTGAATGCACTTTTGGTCCATAATTATCATTAGCATAACAAAACAGAGAAGGAAAGACGAAAACAAAACTAATAAACCAGTGGAGAATAGTGACTAGCATTTTACTCAAGATAAGAAAATTATCTGTTCATTTTAATAAATTTATTTATTTATTAAAATTCAAATCTTAGAGGATCTGGTGTAGTGAGTTCAGGGTTTCCAGATGAGTGTGATTTTTTTTCCAACTCCTGTCTCAAAATAAGAGTCAGCTTCTCACATCACATAAATATTGTAAATCACATCAACCCAGACTTCAGTTGAAGGGGAGATTTAATTAGTTACTTCCTGTTGAGTGCTTTCTTACCGGCTACTAACAAATACTTCTTATCACCCTCCAGAGTTGGAAATTTGGAAACTAAGTACAGGGTATCAAATGATAACAGAATTGTTACTTTAAATGTTTTTTTTCTAATGTCTTGTGTATGTGCTGATTTGTGGGCAAGACCAGAAAATATGGAAGTGGTTTCTATGCTTTTCACCTCAGGATCTCCAGCAAGTTAGTTCCCCGTGGAGAAACCTACATTGCACTGAAGCTCTGAAAAGTTCTCCCATCCAAACTCTCTGAAGGAAAAAGAGGAGGTACTTTTCCACTGGTACTGATATTTTTTCCCAAGTTTCTGGTTAACTTTAGAATATCCTCCCTTTTCCCATCTTTCCTTTTATATACCTTTTAGAAATGTATCTGATTCCTGGAATTGATTTACATGCCATTAGGAAAAGCTTCAAAACACCCAACATGGCTCTTTCAAGAGCTTTCTTTTTAAATATACTTTCTGATATTATGCCTAATTTGTTTCCCCTCCATGAATCGCTACCTTATCATGGTGGAAGGGTTTGTGTGTCCCAGGGATCCTAGGGGTTATTTTGTCAGGTGGGCTTATGTCCCCTTGCAGGGCCTCAATGGTAGTATACCATTAAGGGAACAGTTTACCCTGCCCTGGATAGGGTTACTGGGGTCTCACCCTGAAGGCAGGCCCAGGGATGGTGCCTGAGGGCAAGGGTCTGGTGGCTGGGCCTTAGTTCATGGGGCCTGGTGGGGCACAACCCGACAAAAGGGACATGGGCCCGTCCTCTTGTAGGCCCACCAACTGCAGGAAGTGCCGTAGGAGCTGGGTGTCAGGCTGCAGCCAGTAGCGGAGGCCCTGTCTGACCAATCCTCAGCTACCAAGACTAGCAGTTGGGACATGTCACATCTGTCTTGAAAGAAGCCTGAGTTAGTGCAACTCTGGATAAAGAAATGACTCTAGATCGGGAGGAACAGCCTCCTGGATCTGAACCTGAGTGGTATTTTTGTTGTTGAACTTCTGTGCAAATCACAGCTTGTCCATAACAAACAAAGTGAAGGTATCCATAAGTGCACCAGGCACCAGGACACTCTTGGCTGCAGGTCGATGATCAATTTTGTAATCGTATTATTAGACCTAAGGCCATATGTTCTGGACACTTTGGTAAAGAGAGCTGCTGAGCCATCAACTGATCACCACCTGGTAGTGAGTTCAATCAGGCGGCAGGGGAGGACGCTAGACAAACTCACATAGTGAGTGAACGCCTTGCAGAGGCCCAGGCCTGTGAGATCTTCGACATATACCTCCGGCAGTATTCTGAAGGAGACTGGGGACATTGAGTCTGAATGGACCATGTTCAGCACCTCCATTGCCAAAGCCACTGCACTGAGCTGTGGCCACAACGTGGTTGGTGCCTGTCATGGTGGTAACCCCCGAACCAAATTGTAGACACCAGAGATGAAGGGAGCCACCAGGCTGCAAAAGGAATCCTTGCGGGCTCAGTTAGCCTGTGGAATTTGTGGCAGCTGATTCGTACCAGGCCAAGCATAATGCAGCTCAGGCAGTGGAAGAAGCAAAAACTTGTGTAGCAGGAGTTTGGAGAGGCCATGGAAAAAGACTTTCAGAGAGATTCTGGCAAATCGTCAGGTGACTCAGGAGGGGGAAACTGTGTTCTACCTGCACTGTGTATAGTCACTATCAACACATTAATGATCTAACCACAATAACGCGTTGACGCCGTGCAGCCCCACGCACGGGCCGATCCGCGATAACTCGCTAACAGAGATTTGCCACGTTAATGTGGTTATGGCGTTAACAACATACAAATTGTCATGACCTTTGGTCAATGGCCATGACATGCCATTCACTTCCTCGATTCAGAGATGGTCTTTCCCTTTTCACGTAAATAGCCTCCTTGACTCCACCCTCAAGCCAGCATTCCTCCCTGTCCAGGATGTTACATCCTCATCATTGAAAGAGTGTCCACTGGCCTGTAGGTGTAAATAGACTGCAGAGTCCTGGCCTGACGAGGTAGCTCTTCTGTGTTGTGCCATCCGCTTCGCCAGAGGTTGTTTGGTTTCCCCGATGTATAAATCCTGGCAATCCTCCTGGTACTTAACAGCGTACACTATGTTACTCTGTTTGTGTCAGGGGACCCAATCCCTGGGGTGGACCAATTTTTGGAGTGGCATATTTTGGGGTCTGAAAGAGACACCATGTCTCAGCTGTTCTGATACAGCAGTCTTCATGTCAAACAGTCTTCATGTGCAAATAAAGAGTGTTGCTTGGCAACCAGGCATGCTGCAACTGTTGTGCATTAATTTCTTTGGGGTCAAAATGAATTAGTCGGTGGTTCTAGGTATGTGTTTGTTTGTGTTGTTTCTTTTTTTAATCCACACACCTAAAATTCACAACATGAATGAATCCATTTTAGAGAAAGTTAAATATGAGATGATGGGGTTTTAATTTAAACCAGTTATATGATTTTTTTCCCCCAAACTAATTTTAAAAAGGTTATACTACTAGTACCACTACACATGTAAACACTATAAGATTACAGCTTCCGAGAACCTATGCTGTGTTTTGGTGTATAAGTGGTTAATATATTTTTGTCTTAAACTAAACAGGGGTAAGACAACCAGCCTTGGGGAAATCTCCCATAAGTCTTGGTCTTGATAAATGCTCAATTATCTATGTCAGGAAAGCCCAGAAAACTGTTCTTCTGGACACGGTATTTTGGAACGATGCATCCAGATGTACAGAATAAATTTTGTGGGGCTTCCAGAATTTAACTAACTGCTCCATCTCCTCTTTTTGATAATGTTTTTTTAAACTGTGGAAATTGTAAATATGTGGCAACAGCTCTTCAGCGATAACACGACTGAGTAAAATAATGATTTACATTTCCAAAGAAAGAAAAACTGACCCAGAAAGATCCATTTGTTGACCAGCATTAACTTTGTGCAGACTATACTGGATTAACAAGACCATCTGATGGAGTGAATAACTTTATTAATAAATGATGTATTACAGAGTGAACTATGCGAGTTTACTTACAGGCTGAGCAGCTTGAGTATTTGCCTTAAAAAGGGGATAAAACTGAATTTACCACTGCAATCTGGATTTATGGATTTACTTGATCGTTTTCTCATTAAATCAAGCTGTAGAATAAGAAGTAGTTGGGTTAGGGTTAGTTACTCACCGACCACATGTCCCATGGTACAGCAGTCTGAAAGGAGCAAAAATACTGAATAACTAACACAGTTTGTGAGGTACTGGCAAGAAGAAAGGAACAATGTTTGGACTGTTTGATTTGTCAAATATATTACAGTTTAAGAAAATCCATATAAAACTGCTTATCTTTAGAAGTAATTTTTACTACAACAAGAAGAAATATAAAAATCTAATCTGAGAATTAAGGACCGAAGAGCTACTAACAGGTGTGTCAGCAGCTGAAACGCCACCTGTCTTCTAGTCTGTTAGCTGATAGCAGGTGAATTATTTATCAGTTTGCTTCTCATTGTCATCATTACAGTAAGTGAAGACTCAGCTCTCAATCGCTCCTGCCGAGATGTCAGAAATAAGACCTGTGCACTGCTATGGTTTTCAGGTGTATGTGTGGATGCTTTCGGGTAATAAAGGGAACCTGTGGTACTGGTGAAACGCTTTCATCTGGTTGAAAAGCATCAAAGTCCAGATCAAGAAGAGATTCGCCGGGCCGTTCATTGGGCTGCAGATGACAGTGCAAAAACAAGTAAGCAAGTCTGTCACCCACACGACATCTGCCGTCATTATTCACATGGACTCATACCTGTGATGGCGAAGGAGCAGGTAAAAATTCTCCACCAAAGAGGTCGATAATCTGTTCCTCTGCCACCTCCTTGGTTGGTGTGACCTTTGGTGGAGGAGGCACCGGTGGCCCCTTTTTAAGCTACAACGAACACAGCGAGCTGTTAACGATCATTGTGAAAAAAATAAATAAATAAAAACATGCTGCCAAAGACAGACACCTTCTGACAAACTGTTTCAATGTCTGCACCAGCATTATGTGTCTAATCACTGCCACTGGACATAAAACACAAGAATCCCACAGAAAATGGATAGAGGCTGAAGCACTAAACCAACCTTTAAAACAGGGCTGGGGAACTTTCCTCCACCATAACGTGTTTACTTTTCAGCTAAATTGTAAAAGTATGAAGCCAAATTTACTTCAATAGATGATTAATACTTATTTTAATTTTGATACCGTTTTTGAATTTGTTCATAGGTTAGACAGTGATAGCTGCTACGTGCGTACAGATCACACAGAGTTTATGTCTGAGATCTGAGACCTTTATCACACAAGTACAAAATAAACCAGTCTGAAGAAAACCTTCAACTGTTCTGATGGCAGACGGCAGATTCTACAACACTGGTTCCTGTGACATCTTCAGAACTGTTGTGCTTTCCAGGAATTGGAGACGCACTCTACCATTTGCCTCGGCCCTGATGGAAAGCACGATGAGGTGAAGTGAAAGAGACCTGAGAAGGGCTCGGTCTGGTGTTTAGAAAGTTTGACTGGTGCATCACTGATTAAACATTTGGTGGCAGACGTAGCTGATGTGGCTCTGCTATGGAGAAACAACATCATCCTTTAGATTAACTCGCATACTTCAGTCCTTAGTGAGGGCGGCCTCCTGGAATGTGAATGGGTGCAGGGATGCAAATCAAAGAGCCTTATTAGCTGAGGTGATCAAACAGAAGAGACTAGATATAGTCTTTCTCCAAGAAACACATACTGACAGTTTAATTGAAATAGACTGGGATCTGTGGTGGGGAGGGCAGAAGTTTCTTAGCCATGGGACAAATTTTAGCGCAGGAGTTGCTGTTTTATTTTCTCCTTCTCTAAATGGAAATATTTTCAGCATAGAGATGGTAAAGGGCAGATTCCTTTTGGTGAAGGCTGAAATTGAAGGTTTTAGTTTTACTTTTGTTATTGTCTATGCACCAACCTTAGGGTCTAAACGTGAGATTTTGTTTAAAACATTAAAAGGAAAATTAAGTGGTGCTGCTCAAGGGGACTGTATTGTGTTGGGTGGGGACTGGAATTGTTGTCTTGACTTTACTTTGGACAGGACTGGGGCGGAGCCGCATCTTCAGTCATCTTCTGCTTTATCAGATGTCCTACGGAAAATTAATTTGGTTGATGCGTGGCGGATGAAGCATCCCTCATCCAGGCAGTATACCTGGGTGAAAGTGACTGATGGCAGGATTAGTGCAGCGAGATTGGACAGGTTTTATGTGTCTGTTTCATTTACTGCTCGAATTTTTAACTGTCAGTGTTTTCCTGTTGTTTTTACAGATCATCGTTTAGCTTTAATGGACCCGTTCCTATCTACCACCAGCAATTCCAAATCTTTTTGGCGGTTTAATATAAAATTTTTGCATGATCGGATATTCTGTGACAATTTTAGTTTTTTGGGATTACTGGAGATCAAGAAAGGCTGATTTTGATTCCCTTACTCAATGGTGGGAGGTAGAAAAGTCCCAAATTCATGTATTTTGTCAGCGATCTAGTTTTCTTTTTAACAGCCAATATCATGAGAACTGTGCAGGAACTTGAAAAAGAGATAACACATATGGAGAATGTGTCTGGTTCACAGTTGGGTCAGCAGAATAATGATTGTCTACATTCTAAAAGGCAAGAGCTTAACCACTTTTTACATGAGAGAGCTAAAGGAGCTTTGGTTCGAGCACGTTTCGCCAGGCTCCAGGACATGGATGCTCCAACCACATTTTTCTTTAATTTGGGGAAGTCTGTGGTTCACAGAAAGCAAATGGTGTGTCTTCAGCTTTCGGATGGAAAGGTGACCATGGATCCAGCTGAGATGAGAAGGCATGCAGTGGCCTTTTACACGGACTTGTTTAGTGCGGATAGCTGCGATGTGGACTCTGCTTCGGATCTTCTGCAGAGGCTTCCTCAACTGTGCCCAGGGGATCGGGACGTTTTGAACAGGGATATGACCTTGGATGAGCTGTCTGTGGCGGTGTCTTAGATGGCTTCAGGCAAAGCTCCAGGAATAGATGGTTTACCATCAGACGTTTTTAAGCACTTCTGGAGTCTTCTGGGTCGGGACCTGCTGGACGTGTTTAAGGAATGTTTTATAGAAGGGATACTTCCAGCTTCCTGCAGGCGTGCAGTTATCTCTCTCATACCAAAGAAGGGAGATTTAACCCTTCTTAAAAACTGGAGACCAGTGGCCCTTTTATGTGCGGACTACAAGATTCTTTCCAGGGTTTTATCGAACAGACTGAAAATGGTCATTGAACTGCTGATTGGTTTGGATCAATCTTACTGTATTCTGGATCAGTCTGTGATTGATAACTTATTTTTAATGAGAGATGTGTTTGATATTTGCAAAGTGTACAATGCTAAAGTTGGCATCGTTTCTATTGATCAGGAGAAGGCATTTGACCGTGTGGACCATGATTTTCTTTTTTCCACCTTGAAGACCTTTGGTGTTGGGTAGGGGTTTCTGACTTGGGTGAAGCTGTTGTATAGCGATGCTTGCTGTGTTGTGAAGGTGGGAGGAGGGTTGAGTTGTCCTGTGCCGGTTCGGAGAGGGATTAGACAAGGTTGCCCTATCTCTGGACAGCTATATAGCATTGCTATTGAGCCTTTTCTCTGTAGACTGAGAAGGAAGTTGAAGGGTTTCTCTTTGCCAGATCTGGTTCAGAGCCCTCCTGTCGTTATGTCAGCATATGCTGATGATGTTAATGTTTTTATTACGGATCAAAGGGATGTGCAGGAATTGCAGGAATGTCTGGTTTTGTATGGAAACGCTTTCTCAGCTAGGGTTAATTGGATAAGAGTGAGGCCTGCTTGGTGGGGCAGTGGAACTTCTCGAGTATTCCCAAGCTTCCTGGGAACCTTCGCTGGGGTCGAAGGGGCATTAAAACTCTTGGGGTTTACTTGGGGAGTGATGACTTTGTGCAGCAGAACTGGGAGGGAGTGCGGGAAAAGGTGGAGGCTAAGCTGTCTAAATGGAACCGGTTGCTCCCCTACCTGTCCTACAGGGGTAGAGTTCTAGTAGCTAACAATCTAGTTGCCTCATCTTTATGGCACAGATTGCTTGTTTTAGTGCCACCACCCGGTCTTCTGGAAGAGGTGCAGCGGCTTCTGGTGAAGTTTGTCTGGTCGGGACATCATTGGCTTCGTGCGGCGGGCCTGTATCTTCCTGTGGCGGAGGGGGGACAAGGCCTAATAGATGTTTTGTCCAGAACTGCAACCTTTAGACTACAGACGGCACAGAGGCTGCTGTATGGCTGTGGTCACAGCTGGATGACTTCTGCTCAGTTGTTGCTTAGGAGAGCGGGCCGGCTTGGATTGGATAAACACCTCTTTCTTCTGAAGTTGGATCAGGTGGATCTGTCTGGACTTGTGCCATTTTACAGCTCGGTGGTGAACGCCTGGCGGACGCTGAAGGTTGCACGTACTCCTGACCCCAGACCTGGGATGTGGCTTTTCGAGGAGCCACTGTTTTTTAATGACTTTTTTCCCAGCACTGTATTTTCTTCTGCTACAATAAGGACCAAGTTTGTGGAGGCTGGCATTGTCAAACTGGGTCGGTCATCTTACAAGGATGTCTATGGGTGCACTTGGTGGTGTCACAGGCATTAAGTCCTACAGAGTGCCGGAGAGAATTATGGAGGAAGTTTGGCAATCTCTGTTGCCATCACTGAGAGACTTTGCTGGAGACCGTGTCCTGGCTGATCAATGGGCTGATGACAGCGAATATGTTTTCCCTTCATTGATGGTCAGTCCTGCCTTTGAGGAGCAGCCTGAGGGGAGTGGCATGCTGCTCTCCCTGGGGACACCAGTGCTGGATAGTTTCAGCTCTTGTGGCAAGAAGCAGCTTTATTTATGCTGTGTTAAGGTGCTGAATTTCCACTCTCTGGTTGGAATCCGGGAGTCAAAATGGACTGAGTTTTTTGCTCCGGTTTCTACCCCTAAAGGCAGGTGGAGTGTCCTGTATAAGCCTCCTGTTGAGAAACGGATGGCTGACCTCCAGTGGAGGATTATACATGGAGCAATAGCCACGAACAGACACAGAGCCCACCTGGACCCAAGCACTGGGGAGGGTTGTCCTTTTTGTTCAGAAAGGGAGACGCTGGAGCACTTATTGGTCTGTTGTCCGCGGCTAGTGGGTTTATTTTCTTTGTTGCAGGAGTGGGTGGAATCTTTAGGGGAGACTTTCTCCGTACCTTTGTTTGTCTTTGGCCCTAAGTATTCAGTGCAGAAAAGACGGACCTTGGTTCTGATTTATTTTTTGTCTGGCACAGCTAAGCTGGCAATATGGAAGACTAGGAAGAACCAGATGCTAGGTCAGGGTTGGACTGATGTTGTGCAAAGTCTAAAGGGCCTGTTGGCATCCCGTCTGAGAGTAGAGCATGCTTTTTACTCTCTGACTGATAGACTGGGCTCCTTTGAAACTATGTGGGGGATTGGACGGGTTTTGTGTTCAGTAGGAGCAGATGGGACACTTGTTCTTAACTTTTAAGTGTGTGTGCTGGGTACCTTAGTTAATGGTTAGTGTACAATGAATGTTGCTGATTATGTGGTAGCATTTTTGGGTTAGTTTTTTTTAGTTTCACCTTTCAGCCTGTTTAGATTTAACTGTTTGGTATTTTCAGTTAGTTCTGCACCCACCCACAGGGTGAGTGGTAGGGCAGGTCACCTACTTACCGGAAGGTTGGTGGTTTGATCCCAGTCTGCATACCAAATCTTTGGGCAAGATACCACCCCATGTTGCTCTCTGAAGCAGTGTGTGAATGTCAGAACGCACTTAAAACAAAAAACAGTGCTTTACTGAATGGTTGTATATAAGAAAGAGTCCATTTGCCATCTCTATGACATGATTACAATGTGAACCCCCACCATGTCAGACTGACAAGGAGGAATCAGACCCGACCCTGACTTATGTGTGGATCTCAACCCTCCTCCTTCAAAGTTCTGTAAGTAAGAAAAAACAGCAGAGTGCTCCTTTTCTTTCAGTCATCACTGAGATGTGATGACTTGTTTTCATTTGTTAGTACGGTCAGAGTGTGCTCTAGTCTGCCGTGGCTCTATTTTAAAATTAGACAACAAATGTTTTTTAGAAATGATAAATCTCCTTTCTTTAATTTTGGTTGTATTTCGTTTTTGTAAAAATGTTTTTGATCATTTGTACACCAACAAACTTAATTATTATTGTACATCATACATAAGAATCTGCACATTACACAGCCAGCGTCTTTATTTGAGTCAATGAACCAATGCTCAGATATTCCTGTATTTTGTCTTAAGGTGTCTGATGACATTTCAGTATCAGCAGCAGCTCATATGGGCTGGCTGACAATTGAGATCCTCCGTGTTTTGGTGTTTTTACACTATTTCCTGGTTAAGATATCAGCTCTTGCACTGCACCTTAGCAAATTCAACCAGTGTTGTAGAAACTTGCCATGACATTGCAGACACACTAACATACACTGACATGTACAGAACGTTAAATGTTAGGAAAGGTCAGATCTCATGAACATCAGTAGAAACTAGGTGATGTTCTACTCTCGGGCTCTACTGTGTTATATATGATCTGCAGACTGTATATAACACTGCTGTAGTGATCTACAGACAGAGGCACAGACACAGGACAGACAGCTCTTGTTCACTCACCCAATCAACAGACAAAAGTGTGCAGCAAGAAAAAACAGTCCCAGAAAGTTACCGTGAAGTTCAAACAAACACACCACTATCAGTCATGCATACCCATCGATCGCTTGTTATTATTGTTCAGTCTGATCAGGTCGAGTTTTGCAGTTAAAGACAATGGTGAGCTGTGACTTTGACATTATTGATCACTGACAGAAATTCCTATTCGCAGCCTTTGAGGTTGGAACAGCAAAGAGATTTCCGCCGTCAACAGCGGAGGACAAAAGTTGGTTAGCAGCACTGCCACAGAGTTCTGTTTTTAAAGGAAACACTTGAATGCTTTGGTAATGAGGCCATGTGATCGATCACTGCTGTGAGTGAGGTCGGGTGTTTAAAATTATTAAAATTTTCATGTTTTTAAAAACACAATCCAAATCCAGGGCTGTCAAACTCCAGTCACTGAGGGCCGCTGTCCTGAAGCTTGTCCATGGTGCAACACACCTGAATAACGTTAGTGGCTAATTAGCAAGACTCTATAAAGCTTGACTGCAACCCCTAACCCTACTCAAGTAACTTAGAGTTAAGTAAAGGGTTTTGAAAAATGTACTTCTAAAAGTACTTTTATTGCACCATGTTCATTCACTCATGAGCTGCTGTTACACGAATCAAAGGGCTGAACTGCCTCCTCAGCTTGCAATCAAGTCCTATAAAGTCTTGCTAATGTTATTCAGGTGTGCTGCAGCAGGGACACATGGAAAAGTTTAGGACCACAGCCCTCAAGGACTGGAGTTTGACACCTGCACCTAAGAAATTAACTTCGGTCAAATATTCAAGTGCAAAACTAATTACTACATTTACATTTTTACAAACAATGAAAATTATTATTTTGTCCAGATACACAACTAGATCCAGTGACTAACATCTACATGGGAACTGACACCTGCCTGCATTGGAGATTTGGGTCGAGGCGGTCCAGGTGAGATGGGACGGAGCATATGATTGGTGCTGAGATCTGGACTATCAGGTGGACTCTCGTCTTCTGGTGGTGATGGGGTTCTCGCGAGTCGTAGAGGTCCTGAATCACTGATGAACAGGACAGAAACTAAGCAAAGACTTCTGTCACACTCACATTCAAACTTAGTGTTGAAAATTTGTTAAATTGTTTATAAAATAATTAAATGAAGCCATTTTATTATGTTAATATATAAACTATGCAAATGTGCTCATAAGTGTGTTGGCGCGTGTTTGAGGGTTGAGAGCTTCATTCAGCGCTGTTGTCTGGATTTGAAAATTTGCACACGTAGAGTGCAGAGGGTTTTTGCAGCATGCAAACAGCATGCAGGAAGTCCGAAAAAGATGTCCTGAACTGAAATCAGCATAACAATAAGAGCAGATAGCCAAGGATACGCAGGGTGTATTTATGTGTCTGTGTCTTCCAGGAATCAGAGCAGATGGGAGGTCGGAAGTGAATGGATGGGAGGAGCACACTGCCGCATTTGTGTTGGGAGAAGATGGCCATAATAATCTTTTGTTATTGTCACAGTATATAAGCTGGACAGCCCGTTTCACCGTTATTGTCAGGGCCCTTTGGATCAGCACGTAGCTGATCAGTAGCACTGTTGTCTCTCTCTCGCCGGGGCGGAACTCAATGTGGGTTCATGCCCTCGGCTACGCACCCGTGAAGAGGAAACAGCTGAACCCTTGCGCTGTTAGCATTTAAGCCGAGGGATGGCGGCTATTCATCGCTGGATCATTGTGTGACTGGCGTCAGTGTAGCCGGGCTCTCAAAGTATAAAGCCTTTGTTACTTCTGTGCCTTTGTGCTAACGTGTATGTTCTGTATATAAATTCCCGGACCCGTCCCTGTGTTCCCTGAGAGGATTCCTTGTAGCGAGTGATTGTGGAGAGTGGCCGGTGGCGAGCAGTGAGTGATCGAAGAGGAGCGAGTGTTTTCCCCCCATCCTCCCCACCTTGGATTCCCTGGAGACCACACCCCTGTCACCTTTGTATATGGCACTATTCCCTACGCTGTCTGTACATACACTTGGTGGAACGTGTAAAAAATTCCACTGTGTCCTTCTCAAGTTGGAGCGTCCTGCGTGTGAGTCCTCAGTGATTTGTGACAGTCATCCTTTCTGAGAAGCAGACCAGTGGTTCACACAGAGGTTCAATGCTTCAACTTGTAATTTCAACTGCTGAAGCAAATTAAATCTTTTTAACCGACAGAAATTTCTCCTGAATCCCTTCTGAAAAATTTGAACACGACAACAGCTGCAGTCAGAAGTTTTCATCCACTAATCATGGCCATGAATGTTAGGGTAATTTTGTGCTATTCATCATTTCTCTGAACTGTTCTTTTACAAATCCTACCATGTGGCTTCATGGATTTTTTTTTCACATTCTGTCTCTCACAGTTGAAGTGTACCTCTGGTGCAAATTACTGACCTCTGTCATCATTTTAAGTGGGGGAACTTGCACAATCGGTGGCTGACTAAATACTTTTTTGCCCCACTATATTACTATTCATCAGATTTATTCTTCTTATTAGGGTTAGGGTTAGTGTGCATAAGTGTGCCTATGCCAAGACCCAGTACAAGAATTATTCTTCTATCCCAACTACTTTTTGAGTTACACGACGTTTTGTAACACCAAAAAAACCGCGTTTTTCGCCTCTCAGTGCGATTTAATTCTGACTGCTCATCACTTTGGTTTCCAGGCACCCCTTGCTCTTGTCAGTGGCGCAATTGGTAATGACACGGGTCTGCAGACCAAACATTGTGGGTTTGATTCCACCTGGTTCAACCTTATTGTTTTCCATTACGAATTAATACACTACCACAGACCAGCAATTTATATTGCTAATTTATTACAATTCTGTAAAGTTTTATGATTTTAGCAGCTTTTCTAATATGGACCTCAGCTTCTTTTTTAAGCTACCAATTAATAGACTATGACACCGGTGTGTGTGTGTGTGTGTGTGTGTGTGTGTGTGTGTGTGTGTGTGTGTGTGTGTGAGTGAGTGAGTAAGAGATAGAGACTATTTTTAGCTTTTGGGGCACAGCATCGTATTGTTGGATTCAAACTGATCAATATCAGCTAATTGACTAATTTCAGTCATCACCTTTTATCGCCCACTTTGCGCCAGAAAGAGGAAACCAGCGGATGTCGCGCTAAACAACAGCAGCACGTTTAAGCTTGATCAGCTGTTGTTAGAATTTATTTAATATTAATTTCTAGTATCAGCTGATGTTTGCTGGAGCCACAGCTGTAAAAGCTGCTGGTCATGATATGGTTTGGTATATGTGGTGAGAGGGAAACATGAAGATGAAACCAGGAGATGTCCTTACTGAATCATCAGAGCTGAACAGGTGATGGAGAAACAGGTTTACCTTTTAGGTGACATGAATGAGTTGAAGGGAAGTTATGAACTGTTTCTGAGAGACAAATAACACCAGGATCCTTTTTCTAAGTAGCTGACAGCTGGTAACTGTGCAGGGGCGGGTCTAGCAAAGTTTTGCCAGGGGGCCAGGTAGGGCATTAACAGGGAAAGGGGGACACAAAGAAATGCTTTTCTTTCTTATTCTCATTTAAAATATCTGGCTTTTATTTAATAATTATCTGAATCTTACGACCAACGTTTTTATCTGACGTAAAATGGCAGCACCATTGCAGCGGGTCGCGGTATGAAAAGGGAAAAAAAAAACCTGAACGCTTGGACACTGCTAGCACGGGGCGCCCACAAACGCAAAGCAGGAAATGAAGCATCGCTGAATATGTTTCCAAACCAACTTCATTCTAAGCCAAAGACTAGAAAATATGGTGAAGCAAATCTTCCCTTTGGCTTCACCTGCACCAGTGTCCTGCAGGATTAATTTTCTGTTCGTCGGGAGCAGCGCTGAGCTCTCCAAATCACGGACAAACAGGATCCCACATTCTTGATTTTTAGTTCACAAACACTTGTTGTAATGACTAACTACTCCTGACATGTTGGAGATGTTTGCTCTTTATACAGTAAAGTTACAGCAGGATACAAATAATATCAGGCTGATCCTGCCACGATTTGCTCCCCCTGTCACGGAAAAACAGGATCCCACAGCTGTTTATGTTTTTGAACCCATTTTTCACAGAGAGCCTTTTTTTGAAAAATGTATTGACAGCAATGTTGAACATTATTACACAGGAAAAAACAACTACACGTAAAATAATCACACCGTGATGCCTCTGCCTTTGTAAACAGAGGGACAGTAACTGCGTGTAAAACCTGCAGACAGTCAGATTAACAGTATTTTGTCTCTTTCTGCCATTCTGCAATTCATCTCATGTAAGCAATAACGTGGCCACAGCGTGACGTGGAAAAAGGCACATAGCTTTGACGTTGCGTGACGAACTCTGTATTCCTCGTCCACACGTAAACGCAAAAAAGGAGTTTAAAAAAATCTCAGTTTTCTGTGATTCGAAACACCGTTTATGTGAACGAAACAGCTGTGTGTTCAAAAATACCCGTGTAGGTGCGGACACAGCGTAAAAGAGTTAGTAGTTTATTTCCTTAATACCTGTAATTTATTGCAGATTACTTGTATTTGTTTAATTGTTTACTAAATGTTTGAAGTGTGAAATAAACCACAATGGAGCAAAATAAGGGTGTGTGAGGTTGGAGGATGTGTTTGTGCGTGCGTGTGCGAACATTTTTCTTGTAAAACAAAGGGGGGCGTAGCAAAAAAGGTTTGGGAAACACTGTCTTAATCCTAAATAAATTCTGAAGAACTTTCTGGAAAAAGAACAGTTCAAAGAAATCATTAAAAGCCCCAAATTACCATGACATCCATGTCCATGATGAGTGGATTAAAACTCTATGGGTACTTTACAATGACCAGTTAATAAATCTGTGAAGGTTCTCAGTCATCCAGGTTATCGTAGTCCAGATGCTTTTCTTTCCAAGCTCCTTAGATGACCAGTTAAAATGCATGTGTTTGAACTGTGGAAGGAAACTGGACTATTATCTTTAAATCCCAGACACCCAAACTCTAGTTTGATTGGTTTATGTTGAAAGAATAACTAAAAACAGAATAATAAAATTGATTTTTTCTAAACCCATTGCTGCCATCACATTGTACAATCAGTTTAAGACACTGAAACCAAACGCTGATCTACCTTCGTTTTCCTCAGTTATGGAAAAAGCTTGTACTGACCTCGGAGCCCCTTGGATGGTGAATATCTTGTCAGAGTGCTGCTCTCCCAGTTTGGTCATCACTTCGTACAGTTCTCTGCACACCTGGATGGTTTAAAAGAGACATTTTTCAGTTCAAGTGATTTCGAAGAAAAAAAGAAAAGCAACCCTGTTGGTTTAGGAAATGAAAAACTCACCAGTGAGATCTCACGATGAAACTTTGCTTCAAGATTCGTTACACTCTTGAAGGTGCTGATGTAGAAGCCAACTCGGCTGCAGAACACAAAAGTAAAACTTGGTTGTTGTTGTTTTTATAAATACTACAATTTGGGGCTGTGAAGGTTCTCTTCTCTTCTCTTCTTTTTTTTTTTTTTTTTTTTTGGCCTGTCCCGTTTGGCTCTTTTGCCATCAGAATTATTGTCTAAAGGCGAGGAAAGATGCCCAACGGATTTACTTTACCAAATGGACCATCCCAGCCTTGCCGTAATGGTCTATTTGATTCACCTTTTATTGTTTATTTTATTTTTTATTTTCACTTGCTAAATACGGGACAGACTTGAATGAGGAAAAGAAAAGGGAGAAAGGAAGAGGGGGAAAAACAGCGGAGAAGAGGGACAGGGATAAAGGGCAAAAAACAAAAACCAACTAAATAAGCAGACAAAAAATACATCTATCAATCACCTGGATTACCTGTTGAGAAAGAAAAAAGAAAACAAGAAAACGAGAGCAATACTGGTGCGACCAACTGTTCGAGTAACAAAAAAAATAAATAAAAAATACTCCGCAACTCTGAAAGTCTCCGTGTGGTCAACAGCAGACACACATTGTGCCCCTATCATGGTCTAAACCAATCAAAGATAGTCAGGGGCGGGACCTCTCTGATTGGTCGTGGTCCAGATATTCATGTAATCCGTGTATATGTTTGAAAGTCCAGGGCGGGCAGACAGGCAGAGGTGAGTAGCTTGAATAAAGCGATATCGATTCATATTCACATCCTGAATCAACTTTTAAATATAAATGGATTTTGCCAGAAACGACAGAATCTCAGGTTAAAGCTCACAAAACTATTTCAACAAACAGCAAATGAGAGCACGTAAACAGATGCCACACAAAGACGTAAACGCAGAGCGCGGACCCGACACATCCGAATCAGCTTTCTCTTCCTCGGCTTTCTCACCCAACGGCCCTCACACGGCATCGGGGCTGAAAAGCCGACAGCTCACTGATCCTGATGCGTCGGGTCGGCGCTGTGTTTACGTCTTTTTTTGCGCTCGATTCTGAGCTGCAGGTTTTGTCTCCAACCAAAGTTCACTGAGCCAGCAGCAAAAGAAGCAACAAACTACGCTTCACATTTGATAAACATCCTCATCATCTCTTACTTTTGCTATTTTGCCTCCACCACGATAACAATCACACTTCATGCACAGCTCTCTCTCTCTCTGTGTGTACTTCAAGAACAGTTTCCCTATCTCAAATCGTGATAAATGCATTGCCCAAGTGGCCCCTCTCCCCACTGCCTTTCAGCAGCAGGCGGTAGCAAACAGGTCGTCAGAGGAGGCCGATGTGATGATTAAGTTTAACATTTACTACAATATTGCCAAAGAGTGCCAAACACTTTAAGCACAAGCACAAGATTGTTAGTTAATCATTTACAAATCAGTATTGTCTGTATGGACTGCAATTCCCCCCCCCAAAAAAAAGGTGCACATGTAAAACTGCTGTGTTTTAAAAATCTACTTTTATTATTCAAATGGAGACACTGCACTGTACTTGTTATTAACCTCTGTCTCTCTTCCACAGCATGTCTTTATCTTGTCTTCCTTCTCTCACCCCAACCGGTCGCAGCAGATGGCCCCGCCCCTCCCTGAGCCGGTTCTTCCGGAGGTTTCTTCCTGTTAAAAGGGAGTTTTTCCTTCCCACTGTTGCCAAAGTGATGCTCATAGGGGGTCATATGATTGTTGGGTTTTTCTCTGTATCCATTATTGTAAGGTCTACCTTACAATTTAAAGCACCTTGAGGCGACTGTTGTTGTGGTTTGGCGCTGTGTAAATAAAATTGAATTGAATAGAGGAACTGCAGGAATGAGTCACTGATCCATAGTCTGATCAATTACCAATTCAATTAAACATATTTGTTCAATATGTGCGGTGAAGGACATGTCCTGGTCAAAAATGACTCCAAGGTTCCTCACAGCATTACTGGAGGCCAAGGTAATGCCATCCAGAGTAAGAATCTGCTTAGATACCATATTTCTAAGATTTTCAGGGCCGAGTACAATAACCTCAGTTTATCTGAATTAAGAAGCAGAAAGTTAGCGGCCATCCAGGTTTTTATGTCTTTAAGACATTCCTGCAGTTTAACTAATTGGTGTGTGTTATCTGGCTTCATGGACAGATAGAGCTGGGTGTCATCAGCATAGCAGTGTAAATGTATGCTATGTCTTCTAATGATGCTGCCTAAGGGAAGCATGTATAATGTAAACAGAATTGGTCCTAGCACTGAACCCTGTGGAACTCCATAATTAACCTCAGTGTGTGAAGAGGACTCTCCATTTACATGCACAAACTGGAGTCTATTAGATAGATATGATACAAACCACTGCAGCGACCAGTAGAACTAGATCATAGATCAGCAAAGAATAGAATAGAATTCAACTTTATTGTCATTGCACATGCACAGGTACAGGGCAACGAAATGCAGTTTGCATCCATCCAGAAGTGCTTTAGTGATATAGATATATTACAATATATATTAGCAATAATATAGATATGTGAGTATATTACAGAAATGGGTCTATTATGGTATGTTATAATGTACACGAGTATGAAGTATGTTGTGAATATTCTATAACTATAAGTATGTACAGGCTGTAGTGAGTACAAGCTATGTACAGGTATGAACAGGATATATATGAAAAACTATACGAATATAATAAATAACTTTACAGAAATCTGAGATATACAGCTATACAGAAATGGAACTATGCAGTTGTAAACAGTTGTAGGATTAAATTATATCTCG